ATTTTAACAGCATCAGCCTCTGGAAACAGAGCTGAATCTTCAAGCTTCACTATTTACACAAAAAATCTACAGTCTTGTTCTTATTTTTATTTTTTGAAAGAAAATGATAAAGTAACTTTATGATGCATAAACAGATTTAATCAAACTCGTATGTGATCATGTTTGTTTAATGCAATTTTTTAAAATATAGTGACATTTAGATTTAGAAGAAAAAGAAAATGTGAAATTACTGTTTTCTAACAACCTGACATTTTAAATCCATAAATTGTACTCCGAGTTTTTCAGTTGCATCTTTTTCCAAATAGTTTAGAAAAAAAAACATCTGAATACTGAACAGAAAGTAGATTTTTTGCTCTAAACTGTAAATTAATTTAATAAACGCAAATCAGAAACTTCAGTTTTGATCAAAATTCATTAAAATATTTTAACTAATATTCTAGAAAAGTAGTGCTAAATATTTGGTACCAAACCAATTTTATTCAAATCTAACTCTTATAAATCTGATTCTTATGTGGGATTCCTCAAGGCTGTATTCTTGGGTCACTTTTATTATTATTTACTGCACATGCTGTAAATAATTCAGGCTTAAAACAGCCAAAAACTATTCAATATGGCTCTCACAGTGTCTATAGAAAGAAAAACAAAATCCCAGATCCTATGAAATAACTGCACTCTCAGTTTTTAGAAAATGAAACATTTAAAAATCCTGTTATTATTCTACAAGGCTTTGAGTCTATCATCAGTGTTCCAGAAATTGGCAACAATAAACAATTTTAAGCATTTTATATTCAGTTTTAATGATGGAGAATTGAAAATGAGGGCAGAATTTCCCTTCTGAGAGGGAAACGGCTTCAAACATGCAGCTAAAGCTACAATGAAATGGCTGTAAATGGTGCATTAGTGGGTTATTATGGCATATTTTACATTTGTTGCATGCTTTTCTAACACATCTGATTGTATTCGAACTATTTTCATAAGCACACCGCACTTTTCAGATTTTTTGATCCAAAGAAACGATGAAATCCATATACTTTTTTTACATCCTCTTCAAAGTTATCCACTAATTTATCTTCTTTTCCATACAACTCTCCTAAAATGCTTCTTTTCCTGAATCTGTCTTGTTTTTTTTGCTTCACCGTTGAAAGACGTCTTCAGTTTAAGCACCACTGAGCTTTCAAATGCTCATTCAACTCTGTAATGAGAGGTTTATGCACTGGAGCCTCAATGTAATATCCTCTATGCGAGTGTCAGACTGTTCTTGTGGACACAATCTAATCATGTGCAGAGCTTTCTCTCTGAACCATGTGTTTCGTTGCATATCACAGATTTCTCTTTACAACCTCAGTCAGACATCTGAGGAGACACTTATGCTGGACATTTACATAGAATCTAGGGCAGGATTTTCCCATGGGCCTGGATTGTGCAGAAAAGTGAGTTATAATCAAACATAACCGTAGTAGAAGCTCTAAATAATTCATACACAGAGAACTGCAGGTAGCAAATACACCAATATTTCATTAACTTGTGATAATGTGTCTGATTCTTCTTCAGGTTTGCTTTTAGTAAATATTAAACTAAATTTTGGTTCCGGTTATTCTGCTTCGCTAAGAACTTTCTACAATTGTTCTGGATTTCTAAATGTTGGTTCTCCATGTTAGATTCTTATTGCTAAGTAATAAACTAATTGGAGTTTCTCTCCAATATTAAAGTTAAATGTTGGTCTAAAGTACTAAATATTCCACAGTTTAGTAAACTAAACAGAAATGGAGCAAGCAGGGCGAAGGTGGGTAGGAGGGAGAAGAGAGCAAGAGAAAAATGAATTATTTACTTAAAACAAGTCTTTATATCTTGTTAAAAAGTTACTTTTGGGTTAAATGTGTCTTATTTCACATGTACAAAGAAATTAGCACTAAAAATCAGACTAAAAATTCTTGGTAAGATTTTGTGTTTTTGCAGTGATGATATGAAATCCAGGTGAAAAGTTTACATACACTCTCCATCAGCAAGAGCATCACTTATTTTGATTCTTTAATGATTCATTATTTTTCCCAGGGTGAAAAGTTTATGATAAAAACAAGAATTGGTTGTGTAAGTTGGTTAAAAATTCCTCGTACTTCACATATCCTTACAGCCAAAAACAAATGACATTTGCACTTATAGAAAATGTACATAAACTTTGTAAGATTGATGTTTAGTCTGCAGCGATCGAATTGCACGGCACATTTGGTCCTAAAGAGTTTCCAAACAACTAAGCTGACTCGTTAGGGCTGCACAACACAGACTTCACCCAATTTCCAGCTCTCCACGACTTAAAGACGTTTCTTTAAAGAACCTGTCAAGCGTGTTTACTTCAGGATGGAAAGTCTGAATTGGCCCCAGAAAACAGCCAAAGATGTAAGTTTTGAGGAACATCAGTGACCCACAAAGTCCACACATCTTCTTCAAAGTGAGCGACACGGCACATAAACCAAAGCAAAAAATAAAACACATGCTCATGTGGAGACGGGAGAAAACAGTCAGACAGTATCCAATTATTCACTGCTTTTTAAAAATCAGAAGATAATGGACTGCTATTATTCCAAAAGGACATTTTTGAAACTAAACTATATTAAAAATGTTTGTGTTCGTTCAGTTAAACCCAAAATTATTCAAGCCTCCAGCAGGTTGAGGTGTTTTTTATGTTCAACAGCGACATTAACGGAGATTTACAGGGAGAAAAAGATCAGGGCCAGAAAACATCTTGCCAGCAATTTTTTTCATTCAGAATAAAGGAGAATACAATGTTAAGATGTAAATATAGCAAGTAAATTACATTTTTAGGGTTGTATTACATCAGAAAAAAACATTTTAGTTGAATGAAAATAATTTTAAATCAAAATCTGTAAGGCATATTGAATAACTTTGGGCTCAACTATATTTACAGGTGCATCTCAAAGTTAGAATTTAAACCAAAAGTTATTTGGAGTAAATTTCACTTCAAAAAGTTTCATCACACACAGATTTATGTATTTTTGAGCAAATTTGGCGTAAAGCTAAAAATAAAAGCCAAATTCAGTTTCGGTTCAGAAGGAAAATAAACCAATAAAAATGATTTTGGCAAAATAAATTTAATGTAACTGACATGTTGTGGCTTTGCATGATTATGGTGAAGACTGCTGAAGAGGCGCATTGTATTATAGCGGATTAACAGAAAGTTGAGTGGAAGGAAATACGTGATTGAAAACAAAGGAGAAACAGGCCAGGATTGCTTCTCAGATGTCAAAAAGAAATGCATTTCATTTTCTAACAGAACCTGGCTCATGTATACATGACCAAACCACCATGATACAACTGCTGTTACCATGGTTACGGCCATGTTGTAGTCTAAAAACTCATCAAAAATCTACCGACTCGACAGCCGTTCTGCAAACAGTCACTCATCGTTCAAAAATATAGATGTCCAGACTCTTGTAATAATGGAAATATTACTGGAAAGTAAAAGTTTAGCAGGGAACAAAAAAATCTCCTCAAGAATCCCATCAGTGTTTATGTCTACTGCAAAGTCAGCGCAAAAGAATTTTAGAGCACGTCTCGGTTTCTAATGCTGTCAAAGTTTATAGATGCTGATTAAATTTTCTAGCAGGGCTTGGCATCTGCCCACACTGCCAAAGGTACCAATAACTCGTTTAATGACCGTGGTAATAATCCTGACCCGAGCGCCGTAGAAAACCTTTGGAGCATCGATGGAGTAATTCATGCAAAAGGAGCCCTGACCAACGACTGAGTGCAGTGCAGATTTCTTCAGCACTAAGAGAAAAAGCGATGATATTAGCTGCTGCATTTCCACCACACAATTTCCTTCCACTTGGTTTTTAATTAATACGACTAAAGTTACTTGTGCTTCTTTCACAGTTAGCTTTTGAGGCTAACTTGAGCATCTCAATCACTGTTTAAGTCAAAACATTAATCCTTCGTAGGCTAGATTGACAAAATGCAGTATTTTAATTAGAGAAAGCCATACAGTTTCAGTAAGTAGATAGAGGAAAAAAATATCGTATTGGTATCAGTTATCAGCCGAATGAGTTTTAGTATATCGGCGTATCGGGTATCGACCAAAAATCCAATATCAAGCATCTCTAATCCTTAGTTTTCTGAGAAACTGGATTCTGGGTTTCCATTAGCTTAGCCACCATCATAAAAACTAACAAATGAAAGCTTGAAATACATCCCTCTGTGTGAAATGAATTAGTGAAATAACTGGTCAACTGCCAAGAAACTGTCTGGGGTTTTTCAACTGGGGTTTTGATTCGCTGAATCCAAAAATCACATTGGTTTTGCTCAATCAGGTCAACTTCCTGAACTGGGCTACATATTAATTTGGGATGCTGGGATGCAGTTATGATGGCTGATTACTGTTGGACTCTAAAGAAAGATTTCCCTGCTGCTGAGCACATGAGGCGTTTGGAGGAATGGAAGTTTATGCCCTGAATTTTGCCATTCTGTTAGAAAACGATCTGTTTTTCTCCTATAGCCTTTTTTGGATGGGAAGTATTAACAGAAATGACTGATAACGTCACAGAAATGTAATAAATTTAGTCAGAAGCTCGGATTTTTCTGAATCAAATCAGAAAAACCTGAACCAATTGAGAAAAATGGATGTTAGTTTTAATTCAGCCCTGCAAAATAGTCCCAATTCAGTTGAAGAAACATAACTTCCAAAAAAATATCTTTTTGTAACCCAGTACCTTATTCCAACTTACTGACATGCAACAAACATGCATTCCTCTGACCTCATTTTGCTCAGTAATGTTTGTCTTTTCTACCTTTACTGGCTTCAAGTGGAATAATTGGACACATCCGACGTCGGAGGTTAAGGAGTGAATAGTGAGGAATTTAGGGTGTTAAGGTGGAATTTCAAGGGTGTCTTTTTACAGGGCATACTTGGTGAATTATTTACCTCTCTGTTGAGCCTTGTGTTTGATTTAGACTTTTTATTTTTAGGCTGAGGCGATGGGTCATACCTCACACTCCCTGGAGCCAGAAATTGTGCAAGTGCAGGAACCAGTGCCGTTGCCAAGCACCTCCAGCGCCTCTGGTGTGGCAGCGGGGTTGTAACTCATGTAATACTCTTGGAGTTGGGAGCTGAGGTTTTGCTCGGGCTCTGGGCTCTTTTTGCGCCGCTTCCGTCCCACCATCGACCGCTGCTGCAGCAACCGCGTAGCACCCGGGTAACGCCGCCACAGCACGTAGATGATGGTCAGGATGAGCGACATGGTGAAGAAGAGCGCCACGCTGCCCACCACCACTTTGTGCAGCGCCATGTGCTCCATCGCCGGGGGCGATATGAGGGTGGGCCGAGTGCGAACCGCGGTGTTCCTAGTGTCTTTGCTCATGTGGCCTGGATAGGTCGGGTGAGGAATCGGTCGAAGTCTGAAGGGTGGGAGGGGACCGAAGGTGCTGGTGGGTGGGGTCGTTGGCGAACCACTGGTGGGGGCAAAGGTCGGTTCAGCCGTGGCGTCAGAGATTAGCTCCGGCATCGGTGATGGCGTTTCGGTCATGAAGTAATCATTCTCCTCGCAAATGCCGTGGTTCCGTGTGACTTCCATGATTTTCTCTCCCTGGAGATGCTTGGGGCTGCTGCAGATCATGGTGGTGTCTTTACTGCCCCGGAAATTTCTCAGCCAGGCAACCAGGGGGCAAATGCCAGCTCCACAGTCCCATATGTTGCCAGCCAGGCTGATAGTGGTCAGTGAGATCCAGGCCGTCACAGCCTCTTGGGACACATTGGACAATTTGTTGGATTCCAAGTTCAGGACTTGAAGGTTGGGCAAGCAGTGGAAAACAGCCGGGTCTAGCGTCTGAATTTCATTCCCAGACAGATCCAGTTTCTGCAGTGTGTACCAAGTCCAGGGAAGGCCCTGGTTCACCACTCTGATGCGATTCCACTGCAAATACAGGGATCTCAGATTGGCTAAGCGTGGAAACAGAAAAAAGTTGATCCTGGAGAACTGGTTGTGCTCCAGATGCAACTCCATCAGCCTTTGCAATCCCAAGAAGGTGGTGCGAGTGAGAGCCTTGATCCGGTTGTAGCCCAAATCCAGAAATTCCAGACTTCTGCACTCCAAAAACGCTCGAATCGGGATGTTGGAGAGACCGTTTGAGCGCAGGTGAAGGTTTTGCAGCTTTCGTAAGCCGTGGAATTGACCCGGCTGCAGGATTTCCAGTTTGTTGTAGGACAAGTCAAGGCTACGAAGGTTGGGGACGCCATGGAATGTTGAGTTATGCAGAGACGCGATCCGGTTGGAGCTCAGAATCAACTCTTTAAGCCTTCGGACTCCCTGGAACGCTCGACTGTCGACGACTGAAATTTGATTATGGTCCAGGTATATCCAAAGCAGCTGTCCCAGGTGAGCAAACTGGTAAGGTAGCAGGGTATGAAGTTCATTGTAGCGCAGGGAGAGACCCTGGCAGCCGACTGAGATGTTTTCCGGGACTTCTAAAAACCCAGAGGAGTCGCAGTGGATGGTTTTCCCCTCGCAGCGGCAGCTGTTGGGGCACGTGCGCTCGCCAAAGCTGAACAACAAGGGAGCTCGCAGGAGCAGGAGCAGAGGGAAAAGAAAGCACGTCAGCCTCCCATCACACAGCAGCGGACCTGAGAGCAAACAAAAGGAAACCAGGATTAGTAAAATCAAGAAACAATAGGAGGACAGCTACAAAACAGCAACAAATACTGAAAAAGAAAATTGTTTTGAAAAACATGGACTGGTTCTCCAATCAACAAGATGCGCTGACCAAAATGTGTTTATTTGCAGCATCAGTTGGATTTTTAAAAGTTAAATCAGGGGACACTTCGAGAAGGAAAACTACTCATTTGCTTACTTGGCCAGAAGGAAATCCTTAAAAACCAAGACATGAAATAAAAGAAGCCAAATGAAACCAAGGATAATGCCAGAGAGAAAAGAAGGATCTGACAAGGACTCAATGAACTGGGTGGAAAATAAGCAGGGATGGTGATCACTGGTGGAAGAGATTAAATGGATGCCGAACAGCTGAGAGAGAGAAGCATTAAACACACTAAATTCTTCATTTTAGGTTGGAAATGTCTATTTCTTCTTTTAATAGATGTTACACAATTTTACTAATTTTGATGAGTTTTCTCTGCATAAATGCTGGAGGATTGTACAGCTGTAGTAGACTTCCAGTAATTTAGAGATCAAAAATTATTTTATTTTCAAGAAGTTTTCAAAAGATTACTTTCTTTTTAGAGAAATTGTAATCAGTTAAAATCAGCTTCACGAAATCGGAGATTGGAAATGGGACACAGAAACTCTGATTGGTGAATTTTAAGTGAATTTTGTTCCCAGACTCCTGCAGTCACCTTTCATGTGGATTAATAAATTAAAACAAACTTGTTGTGTAAGTAGCAAAAAGGTTTTTTATTTATAGCGTGGGGCACCTGCAACACATTTCTTGAATTCTTCACACAATATTTCTTGAAAATTAAGTTTCTTGACATTTACTTAGTATTTTATATTTTATGAGGCACAGAGCTGAAATTTGAGACGGTAGATTTCCCAGGAACCTTCCTGGAACAGGAGTAATGTCTGCTCCCACCACAATGTACTGAACGGCAAAAGCGACTTTAAATGGTTGTGATTTACAGGCTGCTGACCTCCTCCTGATTTATTTTTCTGTCCATGCAGGCAGGACACAACATATTTCACATGATTCCACCACTGTGTCCAAGCTAACAGTAAAAAATCTGCAATCATACGTTGCAGGTAAGAATTCACTGCTGCTTAGAGAACAAAAATATGCAATAGTGCTAATAAAAGTAAATACAAGAGTCTGTTAATTGAAAATATTTTTTATGATGTTCAAGTCCAGCTGTTGACCTTCTGGAAACAACTATTTTCTTGGAGACTTCAAACACAGTAGAGATCTTATTTTAATGTCCTTCAGCCTTGCAGTAAATATGCATCTAAACGGATACCGCAAAGAAGCTAGCTAGCCGGCTAGCTAGTTAGCTAGCTAGTTGGCTACTTAGATCAATCTCGATAATCAAAGAAATGCTTTTTATAGCTGCTGTTGCAAGTTTCCATAGATTCTCTGAGACTAAACTTAGGAGTTCAAACGTGTTTCTAACAGTGAAAAGTGACAAGTTTACAAAAAAACCCACAAACATTGAGTCTTTTTTTTTATTTTCCTCTATTTTCTAATCAAGAGACACTGAATGTCTCATATGTCTCAAGAGGTTCAAGTCCAGCTGCTGGTCTTCAGGAAACAATTATATTTACTTGGAGACTTCAAACACAATAGAGATCTTGTTTTAATGTGCTTTACTATCAATCTAAACGGATACTACAGCCAACTGGCTAGCTAGTTGGCTAGCTAAATCATAATACTTTGACAACTGCTGTGTTGAGCTGCGTTTATGTTTCCATGACATAATGCAGTTTAAACTGCCTTGTTGCTGAAATGCCAGACAAATAAACTTGATTGATTGATTCAAACTCCCCATTTTAGATATGTATTCCTCTCTTTGTTTCCTCTATTTTCTTTAATCTCGTTTTCTGGATGAAGACAAGTGAAGACTGCTCATTTCTGCATCACAATAATTCACCTCTGGTGAAAATTATTGCTCATTTCAGCTCTTCCGCTGATAGCTCAGGGCTTTTACGAGATGTTGCCTGCGTCAGTGGCTTTTTAAACCTCTTATCAATATGAAAAATAAGGATCACAGGCACTTTATCCACCAAAACATTTTGCGAAGGTTGTAATATTTGATCAGATGAGGGCTAATGGCAGAAAAACGTCAATTGGATCCTCTGCCTCAGTCGCAGCGTAATGCAGATAGCAGACTAGGTGAGGACAGGGGTCCTTTAACTTAACATGAGATGGAAATTGGATACTTTTCACCCAAAGCTTCCCATTCTGTCAAAAACTGTAAATGGCGAGGTCAAGAAGTGAAGACACACTCGTCTCAAGAAATCCCTTAAAACGTGGTTTATTCATAATGCTGTGGAGAGGCTTGCCACAGTGAAGACAGGTGAAGTTTTCAGTTCTGACACCAAATAGTAACACCATCTGCGGTGATTTCCCACAGTGTGAACTGTGCTTTTCAAGCTGAATCAATGTCAGCAAAAGAATACACTCCAAGAACCCTGGGCACCTTGAGAGAAATCATCCAGGACGTAATGTTCATGCGGATGCGTTTCTGGGGAAGGTCAAAGGTTCAGCAATCACAGAGCTGGAGGGAAGACATCACTAGAGCTGACAAAAATGTCAAAAATTCATCCGTCTCACAGCTAAAATGACATGAGCAGCAATTAAGCAATGGATGGATAGAGCTGGCAGAACCGTCACACAAAAAGAAAGCTACAGCAGGAAATGATGCAGGGCTGAAACATAAAGATAAAACAATCAGATTCTAAAAAAGAGGCTGGGTAACATTTTATTTTGAAGGGGCGTACATAAGACTGACATAATAGTCATAAAGGTGATAAAACACCTGCTATGAACACGAAGGTGTCTTCATAAGTGGTTATGACTGTCATTCGGTTAATAATTAAACTTTTAATGGATTTTTAGTGCAACTTTGCAACAAAAGTGTCATTATTTACCGTTTAAAGCAAAGTTGACAGTTAAAACGACCAACTTTACGAGAATGCCGTACATTCAGCTACAACAATGAATACTGCAATAGACATGTGATCAATATCAATAGATAATACATCTGATAGAATATTCATTAAATTCACTGAACTCCAATCCAGAACCGCGCAGCATTCTGGAAAGGCTTTGCCAACATCAAGGCAAGTTAAGCAACGCTGGTTAACAGCTCAACCTTTCTTCAGGTGACATATTTATATAGTAAATCTAATTACAATCATAACATTTCTTTAAAACTCAACTTTAATAAACAGAAACTTGGAAAAACATCAACTCTTCTTCAGAAATTTAACTTTGTCTCATAAGCAGATGCTTTTATTTTTTTTTTATTTATTTTTATATATTTATTTTATTTTTGACACTTTTTGCAGAAAATAGACAAAAAGGCACACATTGTTTTATTTTACTCATTTATGTATGTATTTATTTAACTTTTGTTTTGTACTTTGTAGATTATCAATATCTGTAGTTATTCTTTAATTTTTCCTATAAAAGTAAAGATATTATGTTAAAGATCCTCCATTTGAAGTAAATAGAGGATCTTTTGATTGATGGAATCAACAAACTCACTAATTCTTCGGTTACCTAGCAACAACCTGCAGAGTAACTTGTGGTTGCCTAGCAACAACCTTAAGTAACTTGTGCACCCAAAATACTAGCAAACAATCTCAAACACTACCAGGCAAAGAGAGTAGCAGGGAGTGTGGTGTGGCCCCCTCCCCACCTGTTGCTGCTCACATTCCTAAATTCTTTTTTGTTTGTTTGCTTGTGTAAATCTTCTAGGTTTATATTTTTACAGTTGGTTTTCCACTGCAAGAGAAAAGCATAAGCATCAGAAAGCGTCTTGTTATATTTTTTAGACTTGATATATAAGCTTCCACTTTCCTTTGTCAACCTTTAGTGACCTTCACGTTCAAAATGCTGAAGACTTGAGCATTAAGGCTAAATGCACAAAAAATAATTATACCACTGGCCTGAGATTTAATTGTTTGACCTATTTTATGATGGCTACAGTTCAACAATTTCATTTTTATAATGATTTCTGAGTAATATCATCACATCTGACCATGGATGGCTTCAACTCTCGTGTCCCATTGTGGAGGCGCATGCAGCTTCCAGGAAATACGAGTACAGATATTATGATGCACAATGTGTATTTTTGTGGAAAATATTCTGTTATTATGGTTTATATAAACACTTTGTGTCATCTTGTGGTCTCTAAACAACTAAAATGCTGCTTTTACTGTGTATTTCAACAATGAAACCCATTTAAGCACTGGTGGTGACACATGCAGAGTAAATACATTCTAAAAAGAAATAATTAAAGTGGTTTACTCTTAATCTTGAATGAAACATCTGCTTAAAGTGTTTAGAAAGTTCTACAAGATTAATGCAAAAACTAACTGCACAATTTCTGGGACAGAAATCCAAACAACAGGGGTGCCATGGCTGAACAGTGCAGCCATCTGGACTGCAAGATCTGCAAATTAAACCTGACAGACACCAAGTCCTCACACGACCGTTTGGTACAGATCCTGCCTGATGCAGGACAGAGCCGACATGTTAAAAAGCACAACAGTCCTAACGTATTCTAACGGCAACATTAGCACCCAGATGAGCTCCTAATTGGTGTTTAATGAAACAATGTAAATGTTTTGCTGTTCACATGACCTGGTTTTTCCAGAAATCTGAAATGTGTGGAACGCAGATGAGCTACGATGAAATGGTTTAGATCGGGGGTATTAAACTCATTTTCGTTTTGGGCCAAATCAAGATCCCGAATGCTCTTAAAGGGCCGGTTGTGCCAGAATGTATTGATAAACCTGTTAAAATATCAATGAATTCTTAAAATTAAATAATATTATTGAACGTCTTTTCAGTCCCTCCAGGATTTTGTAATTTTTCTTGTGATTTTTTGCAATAAAAATCAAAGTGTTTGTGGTATTAATTTGGAAATATTTGCAATATTTGCACTTATTT